GTCCTGAAGAGACACGGGAAATAGAAGGAGGAAGTCAAGAAGGATTACAATTCCCATTGAGAAAGGAAATTGGGGTGAAATAGTTTGCGACTAGAACAAGATCTACCCATCAAGAACAGCAGGAACACCTCCTGAAGGCATTCCTCACAGAGGCCTTCTCTGTCTCTCAGCTGAAAGCATGGCAAAGAGAACGTAATAGAAATCGGTGTATACTGCTTCACGCAAAACGATCAGTAATATCAACATCCAAAGCTGCCTACAACATCTAGCGAGAAAAAAAAAAAAAAAAAAAAAAACACCCCAATACGGAATTTGGATACCAAAAAATCTTCTGATTCAGTGTTGGGGTATCATTAGAAACCAGAGACAAACAGGTTTGAAATTATACACCATCCTTAAAAAAAAGGTTAGCTAGAATATCCACAACAAGAACACAGGGAGCTTGTGGGGATAAATAAAATTAAATATAAAGTAACTAAAACAGTCCATCGCGTATTTTTTAAAGTCATGCGGAGTAATGAATAGCGGCTCGGATTGAGAAATCGGAGAGCCGAGTTCCAATTCCAGTCGAATCCTTTACGTTCACTTAGGTGCTAATACCCTTGAGAAAGGTATGAAGTCTCTTCTTTCCCACCTAGCTATGGGTAAATAGCAGAACAGACTGTATTCTGTAGCCTTGGATGGCAACTGGTCTACTGCAGAAAGAAACGGCAACCAAATGCGGGAAAAAATCTGCCTCGTCAGTCGTGTATCACGCATGGCACATAATTGATGGGAAGAACTGATCACTGATATGGTAATGAGTAGGTCACGTGCCGGGAAAGGAATGGTTGTGGAGGCATTGTTCTTGACTAATGCAGGTGCGTTGCGCACACACATCAGTTATAGGTGGAGCAGCGACAGGAAACATAGCAGTGTCGAAGTAGCTCGTTCGGGCTTGTCTGCTTTATGATTGGCTTGGTCCCAGAAGTTCAGGTCGGGAGATCTATTCCTTTGGGATTAACTCCGTAGTGGCCAGCCATAGGTCGTGGATGAGGATGCCATGAAGTTAACCATGGGGAAGAACAACAGCCAAATTTGTGGTGAACTTGCCGAACGCTTCCAGGTTTTTTTTTATGAAACAATCAGACTTCACTTGCACCGAATAGAGAAGGCGTACAAGTTAAGCAAGTGGGTACCCCGCGCCCTGTCGGAAGCCCAAAAAGCAGCAATTAGTAAGTACCTGTTTCTCGTCGTTTCCCACTTGCTTTACTTGTACGGATTCTCTATGCGGTGCAGGCGAAGTCTGGTTGTTTTATAAAAAACCTGGAGGCGTTCGGCAAGTTCACCGCAAGTTTGGCTGTTGTCCTCTTGGCACAACAACGTACTTATATTTGATAAAGTGCTCACCAGTGACGAAAAATGTGTCCTGTATGACACTCCCAACCGTGCCAGACATTGGTTGTCACTACGGGACCCTGTGCTTCATACTATAAGACGACCTGATTTTTACCACCAGAACATTGCGCAGCTGTAGGCAGAAGGTTCTGGATGCTAATGGGAATTACTTTGAAGACTAACGGTATGTCAAATTTGCTGTATACTTTTTTTTCTAATAAATCAAAATTGGCAAGGCCGGTTTTAGTTTACGTTATAAAAATAAAAATAAAAGCCCAATTATCTGTGCTTGTTTCTAGAAAAACTAAAAAAATATGGAGTTATCTTGAGTTTCTTTACTCTGGACTACATTAATCATTTAAAAATACGAAAGATTCTTCGTTATATCATCAGGTATGAAACAAACAGTATCCATTAATCTGTTAAAAACTGTCAAACAAAAATACAAAATAAGAAAATTGATGATGATAACAACGCCACAACTCATACGCACACACCTGACACGAATAAATAACAATCTACAGGTTGCCTCCCAAAAATGTACCCCCCCTTTAAATAACAATAACTATAAAGTGTATTGACTTGCAAACAAGATTAATAGTTAAAATTAAAAAAAATATTAATGTTTATTGACTTACTAAAAACATTAACTGTGTAAATTAAATATTAAATGAAATTAAATGTATGTTTATAAATATTCAAATTGACGGCGAAATCCAAAAGTGAGTACATTATTTGGGACACCTTGTATATAAGAACAAACAGTCAGACATCCGTGTAGACGGCTACGTTTTCCAAAGAATAATGACTATTATTATATCAGAAAATCGTAAAGTATACAAAACTCATCAACAGTGCAAAAAGGCTCGATCCTGGGGTCCTACGCTGTTTCTGATATTCTCGCTGATATCATCAGTTCCCAACTAGGCATTTATGCAGATGAAACTACCATTTACTCCTGTCTCAGCAGCAAACCCTCAGAACAAACCTGATAGCTGATCTTGAAAAGGACCTCTAAGCGATAGTTAACAAGGACAAGAAATGGCTTGTTAATTTTAGCGACTCCAAAATAAAACTGATTTCAATTAACCACCACAGAGAACATTTTCTGTCTGCCATCAGCATATCAGATGCTAAATTCCTGGAGAACAACACACTATGTCTTCTTGGCCTCACATTTTACACTGACATGAAATGGAGCGAAGATATCGAATCAATAGCTGCATCTAGTGCAAGGAAAGTTGGGTCACTGTGAGGTGTCAGAAAATATTTTCCCGTCAGAATCTATCTTTCACATTTACAAATCTACCATTTGCCTTTGCATTAGATACTGTTACTGTTGTGGTAGGATCCACCTAATTTGCATAGTGGAGTACCGACCATATAAATATGGTTGGTACCGGCAAGACGAGGGGAGGAATCAAGAGATTCAATCCAAAGACTCTGCCCGACTGCGACTAAGTCAGCACATTCTCCAGGAACGGTCTTCCCAAGAATATACAAAAGACTATATGTAAATATTGTGTACCTTTCTTGTTTCAATACATTTTGTTCTAAGTACATTTTGTGTTGTATTATTATTCCATGCATTAGTCAAGTTTCAACAGTTACCATATATGGTATGGTGCTTCTACTGTACATCTTGAGCTTCTTGACAAAATCCAAAGAAGGATCTGTAGCGTAACCGATCCTTTCTCACCGACGTCACGTGACTTCCTTTTATCTTTTCTACAAATATTTTCATGGCAATTGCTCTGGCGAGCTTTTTTCCTTGATGTCCCGAATAGGAGATGAATTTAAGAGTGCTACTCGATTGGCATCTAGGTCCCACCGATTTATTGTTGAAATGGCTAAATGCAAGCGCCACTTCTACTCCAAGAGTTTTTTTTCTTGTACTTCCTATCTTTGGAATTCCCTACCGTTTCCTTGCTTCTCATATAACTACAATCTTCAAAAATTTAAATGCGACGTCAATCACCATTTTCTGTCTTCTCGAACCCCTTTCATATTTTACCCTTTCCTCAATCCCCCTCTATTCTCAATCTTCTCTTTCACTTAAACACTCTGTAACCTCTGGCGTACTCGTGGCATTATCGCCTGGCTTGGGTTGAAATGATTAAAAAAGAAAAAAGAAACGGGTATATCTACATACTACACTATGTTGCTTCGCTAATTGGTCGGGGATATGATGTGGAGGATAAAGAAAATAAAATAAAAATTGAATAAAATAAAAATTATCTCCCCTTGGCTTTCCACCAGGGGAAAAGTAAAAAAAAAAAATTCTTGATTGTTGTTAGATAACGCCATATTGAATAAAAGATAAAGCGACATGCGCTCCCAGCTGGTGTTTCCAGTCGTTATTTCCTAAATGGTGGCTGACCGCTCGATTCGGTTATTCCTGTCTACTAATGTGGCTAGCCAATCCTTGCTGAAGACGCCTGCTCAGGCACATTTATGTTTGTTCGACATCCACAGAGCCCACCTGTGGTTTATACTGCAGCTATGCTGAATGAACCTTAGTCCCAGTTTCTGGGAAAGAGCACATTATCTGCTGTGATCAGCAGTCTGAACAAAGCCAGTACGCTCAAACGCTCGGTCACGATGACTTGTGTGCACAACCATCGACGGCTGCTAAATAGTTCCAATTTCACTCTACCCAATTTCAATCACAAAACTTGCGTTAATCCGTGGTATAGTTTTCAGGGACTTTCCAAAATGCCGCATGATAACATCTGAAGTCACCTTCCTGATTAATCGACCATGATGAGATTCGAACCTGGGCCTCATGATCGGAAAGCAAACGGTCTTTGAAACAGAATAAAAAGCAAAGAACTCTACCAGATAAAATAAACTGCATCACTCGAAGACTTACAACATCAGCAACAGTTGAAATGGATGCCACAAGTAACTCGACATTCCACACTACCTCAAACAAAAGGTTAGGAAGGAAACTACCATCAATACTGGAAAAAGAGCTACTGAAACCTATTTTTTCTGAAAAATTGTTTTAAATGAAAGATTTTATAAAGTAGTACTGGCTGCTTGATCAGTTAATACCGAATGTTTCTTTATAAAGAAACGGGTAATAGTATTGTTACCATTACCATAGAGTCAGATGAAGGATTGTTTTCTTTTTTAATCCTAAATTTTAATTATTGATCTGAGAAAACCCTACACTCCGGTTCAAAAATACATGTGAAGAAGACCGGAGAACTAAGCGTCCGAAATCATAGTAAAGAAAGCAAAGGAAGTTTAAGAAATTCATTGAATAATATTGAAGATAATAATAAGGATGAGAATGATATCGATAATAATAATAATAATAATAATAATAATTATTATTATTATTATTATTATTATTACAATGGTGTTTATGAAGGCACAACTTGAAGTCTATCCCCATGCGAGTGTGGGAATGAAGGAACGTCGGATCTTTTGGGATTTGTCACTCCAGGCTCATCAATATTTAGAACACAAAGACCTAGATAGCGTCTTAATAAACAAAACGCTTCCCAGCTTTTCGATATCGGTTAATCTAATCGAATTATTGATTATCTAACCAAATAATGTAAACGAAAGACAAAGCAGGAGGCAATAATGCAAGTTAAAGTCAAGGAACTTAATTAAGGCGGGTGGGGGAGAGATAGATAGATAGAGAGAGAGAGAGAGAGAGAGAGAGAGAGAGAGGCGGGGAGGTCGGTGTTGTTAGGGCGTGATTTAGGGACGTGGAGATAATACCATGCAGGCCAGTGAGATAATTTAATAAATAAGATCACGCACACGGACGCAGATCCACAATCGTATTTATATCTTTATATATGTAGATATATATCCTGGGATATATATCTACATCTGCATCTACTTATTTATGCAACAAATAAACAAATACTCTGCCCTACATATATATTTCAGTCAAGATCAGTTGCTTAATTTAATAGTGAAGGCCTCCTCCACTTACTCATATACACACACAGACACATGTGCGTACATATAATATTAGACGTGTGTAAAGAAAAATGACGCCATAGTTTTTTAAGTTTTCTATTATTAGAAGGTTTTCACATATGTCTTTAAATATATTTTTCCAATTACCGTATATACTCGAATATCATGCGACTTCTGATGACCTAAATTTGAAGCTAATTTTAAGGGGGTCACGTCATACACAAGATATCAAATTAGCGTATGTACTGCTGGCTCTGTATATCCATTTACTGTAGTCAAATTAACTTCAAAATGAATTCTTCAAGGATCGCATGATACACAGATACATACTAATCAATTTTCTGGCCACTGAATTCTTATATTAATCTTAGTTTATCTTTGTTGAAAAATCACAACATATTTTGAGTCCTTACTATTATTATGATAGAATCTATTTCACACGTGACACTTTAAATATATGTATAGTTTTTCAATTATTCTATTGATATGTAGTAATAGTAATAGAAAATCCATCCTCTATTTTATCACCATCCAGTAGAATCAAATTAATGGTACAATACCGAAGCTGAGAAAAGAACAGAATATTTTGTCGAGTCCTTAATATTATTGGAAATTTTTCAAATGTGGATCTTTTTTTTCGAATTATTATTGTAGTATTGTATTTTCATGGAGTCGGTCTTTCTATCCCCATGTTTCAACAATTCGCCATGTTTCAAGTATTAGCCATGTTTCAATAATTCTCCATGTTTCAACAATTCGCCATGCTTCAAGTATTAACCATGTTTTAACAATTCGCCATGTTTCAAGTATTAGCCATGCTTCAATAATTCGCCATGTTTCAACAATTCGCCATGTTTCAAGTATTAGCCATGTTTCAATAATTCGCCATGTTTCAAGTATTCGCCATGTTTCAACAATTCGCCATGTTTCAAGTATTAGCCATGTTTCAACAATTCGCCATGTTTCAAGTATTAGCCATGTTTCAATAATTCGCCATGTTTCAACAATTCGCCATGTTTCAAGTATTAGCCATGTTTCAATAATTCGCCATGATTCAATAATTCGCCATGTTTCAAGTATTAGCCATGTTTCAATAATTCGCCATGTTTCAATAATTCGCCATGTTTCAAGTATTAGCCATGTTTCAATTATTCGCCATGTTTCAACAATTCGCCATGTTTCAAGTATTAGCCATGTTTCAACAATTTGCCATGTTTCAAGTATTAGCCATGTTTCAATAATTCGCCATGTTTCAACAATTCGCTATTGCAAGTGCAATGTGGATAATTCTAGTATAGTAAAATGTTACAGACATTACAGACAAAACGTTTTGCATACATACATACATATATACACACACACACACACACACACACACACACACACACATATATATATATATATATATATATATATATATATATATATATATATATATATATACGAGGATGGAATGAAAAGTCCATAGGCTGACTATGGAGGAGTGATGCTAGAGCTGTGAAATCTTGCATGTATTAATTGTTTCTTTGCGGGTAAATTGACATTTGATGGTTCAATGAAGACTGTTCATCATGTTGGTCAAAAAGTCATGAACAGCAGATATGGCGTCATCATCTCTACCATACAGGCTCTCAGTCAAGTTTTTTTTTTCTTGTTGGGAAACTGATGATAGTTAAATCAAGAGAACTGGGTGGGGGTGATCAACCAGTTCAAAGCCACAGTCGTCTACATCAGCTATTGAAACCAAGGACTTGTGTGCTGGAGCATTGTCATGATGAAACAATATCCCTTTCGTTAGTTTTCCTGGGAGTTTGGTCTTGATAGCCTTTCGTAACTGCCTCAACAAGTTGGCATACGACTCTCCATTAATGGTATGATCCTTTTGAAGATAGTCAATAAACACAATACCTTTTGCATTCCTACAAAAAATGCGATCACCTTCCCTGCAAATTATATGAGATTGGCCTTCTTTGGAGCAAGTTATTAGGGCTGTTTCCACTTTAGGGATTGTCTCTTTGTCTCTGGCTCAAAGTAAAGAACTTAACTCACACCCTTGGTATGGAAATGCTCAATGAAACCAGCTGGATCTGCTTCAAACAATGTCAGATTTCCCCGGGATGTGATCAGTGATGTGCGCTTTTTATCAGGTTTCAGAAGACGTGAATGTCACCGAGCTGAAACATTCGTCATCCCAAGATGATTGCGCAGAATATTTTAAACTCTCTAGCGGAATATGCTAATAATTTCAATCGTCTGTCATCGATCACCATGTGGTGAATACGATCAATATTTTCCTCGGTGGACGTCCAGACCATGGGTCAATTTCAAGACTCTCCTTTCACCTCCTAATTAAAGCTGATCACTTTTGCTCTGTTGATAAAGCTGGAGTGTCATCCATTAACGTAACAACAATGCCACACTTTTTTTTCTGCAGACACTTCAGAACACCACGATGTCAAATTATCCCAGTTACAATAAGATTGTCTTTGTAATTTACTCCGGAATATGATGTTGGAAATTTACAATTTTAGGTTAGTACTTCATTATTTAGTCAAATATTTTTGTCTGTCTTTTTCCTTCCAGAGCCGTATGTATCGGCTTGTCAGATGGATTCTATTTCTGAATATTGAAGAGGATTTAATTTCCCGAAAGATTGGTACCTTTACTTGTCAGTAAATAAAAATAAAAATGGAATTTATTGAAAATTTTTTATTGTATTTAAAAAAAAACTCTCTATGTAGGTTTGCAAGTAGCTATATTTATGTTTCATATTTAATTTAGTCATCAAGGAAAAATTATTTCTTATAGGAGGAGAAATCAATTTCTTTCATAAATTTCAAGGAAAGATAGGAGAAAAAAAGAAAAGGTAATAAGAAAAATATTAAAGAAAAAGAGAAAGAGAGAGAGAGAAAGAGAGAGGGGAGAAAAAGAGAGAGAGAGGAAGAAACCGAGGAAAACAAATTTTAATGGGTTTTTTTCTCTGATAATTTAACAGAAAGAAAATAAAAGGAAAAAAAAAGAAGGTGGACGTAAGTGTAGATCATGAGGATATTTCATTTACCCCGGTCTCTCCACTGTGACGAGATGTAACACAAGGTCAGGCTTTATGTGGAGAAACCCGAGCCCATACACAAATTCCCCAGTCCCCGCAACCATCAGTTGTGCTGGACTCGGTGGCGAGCACCAATCGACGTCTTTAGTGCAATGAGAGAATGCAGCCTGGGGCAGCTTCTCCTCAGGGTCGGGGCACCTCAAAGTATTACTTTCCTTCGCTGCGACTGTGTCCGCAGACAGAGGCCACAACCCAGTCGCACTCTACCCGAAGATAGAAACGCATGAAGACATTCAGGATAGATAACGGTTGATCCTAAACTTGAAGAGGTTCAGATTTTAGGAATTGGAAAAACATCCTATTGGGCATCTGTTCCACAAAGTCGTGGCTGTCTGAGTGGAACTACTTTCTTACCGATGGGAAAATAATGAAGTAATAAACTGAAATTGTAAATATGGCATTTGGTTTTTAGACATTAATTACAGAAATATATAAAGTTGCGTAATTAATAATTTCCCTCTTTGTTTATTAGGTTGACGCTTTTGTTTAATAGGATGAGCAATGAATAATGTTCGTATTTGAATCGTTGTTGAATCATAAATAATTTCCCATTTTTCTTTATTAGGTTGAATCACCAACATCTCCCTTTTTGTTTGTTAGGTTGAGTCATAAATAATTTCCCTTATTATTTAGTCGATTGAGTCATAATTAATTTCCTTTTTTGTTTATTAGGTTGAATCATAAATAATTTCCCCTTTTGTTTATTAGGTTGAATCATAAATATTTTCCTTTTTTATTTATTAGGTTGAGCCATAAATAATTTCCCTTTTTGTGCAAAATCAGGTTAATATGGCCGGTTGGATAAAACAGAGGAAAATTCTAAAATGCATTTTTGAGATATTCTTTCTGCATGTGACCTTCAGTTGTCCGAATGAGAGAAAATTATTTTTCATCCAACCCTCTGTGTACGCTGCCACTGCTATTAAAAAGTAAGGTATTCAAATATACTCGAAGTTTATTCGTAACTGTCACATATGATGATACATTGGTAATTAAAATATGTTTCCAAAAACGGAATCTACTTATTGATTTGCTAAGCATAGCTTAGATGTAGCACAAGGCCGAAAGAAGGGAGCACGCATTGAGTATCGAACACACAACTCAGTCGTAAATGATCTAGCGATACAAGCGCACTAACCACTACACCACAATGCCTAACTGGGATTTGATTGTGACCCAACCTAAAAATGGATCTGTATCATAAAATAATAACGGCTATATTTAAGTTATTTCGCAATTGCTTTTTATTTCGAAAATATCAAAAAGATTTAGATAGTGACTTATTTTCCTTACAAAGGGAATTAGAGAAGGAATTCAATCCTGTGTATGTGACATTGTGGGGTCCTGAACTGAAGGAACTAAAGAATGTAGCACCCCTGAACATTTGCCATGGAAATAGCCTTAGAATATTAATAGATTTGTCAAAATGTTCGAAAAATACAAGATAAATAGTAAGTAAAACATGAAAGAACAACAACAAAAAAAGAAGCGGTGAGACGGAGAGAGAGTGGGATAGAGAGCGAACAGAGAGAGGGGGAAGAGAGACAGAGAGAGAGGGAGAGAGTGGCGAAACAGATAGAGGGGGAGACAGAAAGACAACAGAGAGAAACAGAGAAGGAGAGGGAGAGGGAGAGTGTCAGGGGAAAACAAAGGGAGAGGAAGAGACAAAATGAATAAGAGAAAAGGTGAGAGAAAGCCAGCATGAGGAAAGGTGAGAGAAAGAAAGAGAACACAAGGAAAGTAAAGAGGAAGAAATGAAGCATAACAAGTGATGAAAAATAAGAAAAGAAGAGAAGAAGAAAAGAAGAGAAGAAGAAGAAGAAAAGAAGAGAAAAATAGAGACAGATAAAGAAAAGATAAAGACAGAATGACAGTAAAGAGATGGTAGAAAACAAATGGATTACTCTAAGCAAGATGAAATAAAGAGACAGAAAGGTAAAAAGAAGTGAAAGAAAATGAAAATAGACATTATCAAATATTTGTAATTGACTTAATCTGAAAAAAAAAAAAAAACCTTTAATCGTTTGCTATAAATCTTTCTTTTTAGTGAAGATGGGTAATACATATTCTTTATTTGTTTTTTTTATTCTATTCTTAAGAGATGAAATAAAAAATTAAGATAGCGGAACTTTAATAATGATGCCTTTGTCCCTAAGTGGTCGGAAAAGAGGACATGTGCACTTTGAATTTGACTCTCTTTTCAATCGGGAATGATTGTCTGCCGATGCAGCATTCAATGATTTTAAAATAAATTTACAGGGGAAAAAAAAAGAAATATGTTGCAAAAGAAGCGGACCAAATTTATAATGTGTTGAGTCATATAGGACGCCTTTTTTTCCCTCTAGGTGAAGCCATCTAGGAACTGACCGAGTTCTACATAAAAAAAGAAAACTTATTGGATTTTTTTTCAAAAAGAGACAGCCCAAAAGAAACAGAGCGGAAATGATGCTTCATTTAATGGTGACGTCGCTAAACTACTATCCAATCAAATAACAGAATTTCTTTCTTTCTTTCTTTCTTTCTTTCTTTCTTTCTTTCTTTCTTTCTTTCTTTCTTTTTTACCTGTCGCTTTTCTTTCTTTCTTTCTTTCTTTCTTTCTTTCTTTCTTTCTTTCTTTCTTTCTTTCTTTCTTTCTTTCAACCCAACGAGATCGGTGACGACAGAATTGAAATAACTTCAAAACATTAACTATTTTTTTTTTAAATTTCTTTCTTAAAATATATAAACATATTTTCTATACTTCTTTATTCTTGTCGGAATATGAGACTTTTCATGCCAATAGATGGCTCAAGAGCCACTCAATGTAGAATGTTACTGAATGACAGGTGTGATATCGTAAAAGAAGAAAGTAAAAAAGATTATGATGATATGGGGAGGCAAGATAACAACTTCCCCTAGATTGAGCACCCACGCAGGAGTCTCTTCCAAAAGAAGTGGTACTTGAGCTGAGGAATTGTCATTATTATATATTTTACTATTCGGACCAGCATACCTATTTTAGTTGTTATGCTCACTACGTTTCGGCCGTTGTACCATCCGGTCTTCTTCAGGCGTCTGTCTTTGTACTTTGTAACATTTCTTTAATTTTAAACAGAACCCCTTATTCAATCCTTGGAGCTAGCTTGTTCCTCTTCAGTTTGCCAGGCTCAGGAGAGATAACACCCATTAATTCATACTTATTAGCATATTAAAGTTTGTATCACTTGTCCGTTTCTCCTACTGAAGCATACTTTTTTTTTACTTAAACATTATTTTATTCAGGTCGTGAACTAAACCATGTTCCTGTTGACGTAGCCAAGTAGATTAAAATGTAGATTAAAACATATCTGCTTTCCAGTTGAGAGCTCGATCTCTGAGTAAAGTAGTTTTTAAATTTCGTCTTTAATTTTTTTTTTTTAATCAATTCACCCCCAAGCAAGGGGATAATGTCACTAAGACGCAAGAGGCTACCGAGGGTGAAAGAGAATGAGAAGACTTTAGAGGGAACCGGAAACCCAATCCTAAACAGGAAAAAAGGAATAAACCTCTACTCCTGTTCAAAAACAAGGGAGGACTGTGAACAAGGCAATAAGCAAACTGAAGGTCTGTGAATTTTGGTTCGTAGAGAAAGTGCATTTTTTTTTCTCGGTGAGTTTCATTATAATATTAACATTTTTTACGTAGTTCTTTGTTTATTAATCGATATTCTCCTGGCGATTGTTTTATCTGACGCCTTCTTTATTTCTTTCCTTCCTTCTTTCTTTCCTTCTTTCTTTCTTTCTTTCTTTCTTTCTTTCTTTCTTTCTTTCTTTCTTTCTTTCTAAGTATTGTAACCATTTCGTTTAAAGTTCTTATTTTCTTGATTTCAGATGAAAACTTTGCAATATTGTAACTTATTTCAGTGAAATGTTCACTTCCCAAAATTATAGTTTATAATTAGAGTTCAGAAAATATAGGTTAATAAGCAAAATAATAATAAAAAAACAACATGAAAACAAAAGAAAAAATACACTAAATTTACGGTTCACAGCCGCTATTTTAACGAAAAATGACAGATGAAGTTAAAAAAACTTGAACCCAACCTTCT